TTTTTTTTTTTCGTTTTAAATTTTAAAAATGGGCCTTGTTTTTTTATTTTTAAAACGTATAAATTTATATTTTATTTATTATATAATTTTAAAATAAAATATTATCATTATAAATAAAAAAAATATGTATATAAAATAAGGTATAATTATTGAAGTTAGGATTATAATAAGTTATAATTTGAATAATTTAAAATTTTAATAAGTTAGAGTTTGAATAAGTTAAAATTTTAATGAGTTATAATTTAAATAAGTTATAATTTGAAAAAGTTATAATTTAAAATAATTTATAATTTTTAATAAATTTGTATGTAATATTATGTTTACATATTTATTTAAATATGTGATAATATTATGTTTAGGTATTTATTTAATTAAATCTAAGTTGATGTCATAGTGAACTATGTTACAATATATATAGACATGTTTCAGAAATGAACTACGTTAATGAATTAGGTGAATACTTGCTATTTGAAAATTTTGAATTGAATAAATTATAAGTTGCAAAATCCGATTGATAAAGAGATTGTGTGTAACTTTTTGTGCTGAAGATAGAGTTGTAAAATCAACTCCAAATAAGTTTGTAAAAAAGTCCTCCGAAGTAGTTGCAAACGAATGCCTTCTATTAATTATGTTTGCTTCAGGTGTGATGTTTGGTGGAGAAAATGATGCAGTCTCGTGATATGATTGTGTGGAAGACGTACTGGTATCAAATGATGTGGTAGTCCGTAGTTGTTGATAGCTCCTCCTTGGATCTTGTAGTAGTGGTGGCACAGATAGGAAATAGATGAAATTGGCGATGTACCATTCTATGTATTCTCGTGTGTGACACAATGGGCCTTGCATTGGATGACCCATTAATGTCAACTCACGTCTATTGTTCCAGACATCTATCCATTGTGTATGTCTTGTGATCCAATTTTCATCCTGTCTTCCTCTCATGTCAATTGCGTGGAGATCGTCCAAATTGTTGGGTGGAGAAGGAACTTCTTGGAAAATCCTAAATTGTAATTTGACTCCATCTATTTGATTTTATTCAACAATTGCAAAGTAAAGGATGATGGTACATGAAGTCCACAATTGTACATCTTTATAAGCTTCCATGGGTATTGAGGGTTGCAAGTCTTGGAAATTGTGTTATGAACATTTACATGATTAGGTTGAATGTGGTCAAACATGGTTCTATGCCCCACAACATCGTTGTGAGGTTTGTTCCAAAAGTTTAGAACTCTACCCCTGCTCCATCTACACACTAAAGGGTATGTTGGTGGATTGCTAGAAATTGGTGCAATATATGGCATGCGATACCATGCCCAAGACATTAAAAGTGATGCGTAACCACCCATTATTTTACTCCCAACTTCCATGGCCTTGCACATTTCCCTATACAACATGGCTAAACAAGCACTCCCCAACTATATTTTCTAGTTCTTCTAAGGTTAGTTAGTAAAGATAAATATATAAGATGAACTTTATTGCTTGTTTTTTCAGGAATCAAAAAACCTCCAATCAAACGTAATAGATATGCCCTAACATGGGCGTGAACTTGTTCCTCTGATGGTTGTTCTAGTAATGGCAAGATGTTGTCTCTAAGCCACTTGAGTTTAACCATAGAGCCAACAAGTGACTATCCCTTCACTAGAACAATGCCAAGATAAGTATCACACATGTCCTCCCAATCAAACATTGTTGGAGCAATGACATAAAGTCCATCAAATCTTAGGCCGGTTTGAAGTGCAACATCTTCTAGGGTTATAATGCACTCCCCTGTTGGAAAATGAAAGGTGTGAGTTTCAAGTCTCCACCTCTCGACCAAAGTGGCTATCAGTGCATGATCCACCTTAAGATGCCTTAGTTTTGCCACCCTAGCAAAACCAAGTTGTTCAAGAATAGGAACAATTACAGGGTTGGGTTCTAGCATTGAATGATAGAATGATGAAATGATATTCTCAGTTTCCAGCAGTTATGAAAAAATTACTTAGTAACGTAGATATTAATTCACATTTTAGGTAAACAAAGATTATGTGTAAAACATATCGTTCTACCAATGAAGGCAGGCCTGTGATCGTTTTGTTTCGTCAACAACATTTTTGGTCAAAGTAAAGAAGTTTAATGAACTTTGGAAGTTTTAGAGAAACAAAGAATTCTAAAGGATGCTTGGTTGATACGAGTTGTGGTAGAAGTGGATGAACAAATTTTTAGAGAAGGTTTGGTTTGAAGGAGGAGGACCAAGTAGCATTGGATTCTTGAGGCGTGGGCCCCACATGGAATCAATGCCTCCTATAACATGTACCTGAGGCGTGGGTCCCACAGGAAATCAATGCTTTGAAGGCGTGACCGACATGTCATTATCGTTGGAAAAGGTGTGACCCACATGGAATCAATGCTTTACTCCTATAACATGCACCTAAGGCATAGGCCCCACAGGGAATCAATGCTTTAAAGGTGTGATCGACATGTCCTTATCGTTGACAGAGCTAGAACCCACATGGAATCAATGCTCTGCTCTTATAACGTGCACTTGAGGCGTGGGCCCTATAGGGAATCAATGCTTTGAAAGCGTGACTGATATATCCTTATCGTTAATAAAGGTGGGACCTACATAGAATTAATGCTCTACTCTTATAACGTGAACCTGAGGCATGGGCCCAACAGGGAATCAATGCTTTGAAGGTGTGATCGACATGTCCGACAAAGGTGGGACCCACATTATTAGGGTTTACGGTAGATATTTTTATAGTTTAGGGCTAACTTTTTGCATGACTTACATATATTTTTGAGTTGTGACCCACAGGTCCCTCGTCACACAACATGCAACTGACATGTGGGATCCACTAGGAATTAATTCCTCTTCGCACAATGTGCAACTGACATGTAAGGCCCACAGGGAATCAATTTCGTCTTTGTACAACATGTAACTGACGTGTGGGACCCACTAGGAATGAATTCCCTCTTTGCACAACATGCAATTGATGTGTGGGGCCCACAACGAATCAATTCCATCTTCGCAGAACGTGTAACTAACGCGTTGGACCCATAAGGAATCAATTCCATCTTCACACAACGTGCAACTAACTCATGGGACCCATAGGGAATCAATTCCATCTTTGCACAACGTGCAACTGACGTGTGGGACCCACAAGGAATCCATTCCCTATTTGCACAATGTGCAACTGACGCGTGGGACCTATAGGGAATCCAATGCTACCATTATAAATAGGTCCTCATCGCTTCATTTTCTTCATTCACCTCACCTTCTAAGCTTGTTCCTTCGTTTTTCCCCTTCTAAGCTCATCCTCCGAATCATGTTCTTCATTCCCTTTAAACCCTTCATAAAATGTCTTCTTCAAACAATAAGATACCTAATTTCATCCAGACCTGCAAATAAAGAAATAAATTTCTTGTATGAAGAAAATGAGTAGTTGATAGCTCTAAAAGGATCTTAGAACCAAGACGACACGACATTAGATGGCCCAAGGCCCAACAAAGACAAATTAGGAGTCGGGAACGGGCCGTTCCCAACTTAGAGAAGGCCATTCCAAACTCCTAAAAAGGGGAAGAAACCCTATGTCAAAATGGGCCGTCCCCAATCCAGAATGGGCCGTTTCGACATGATTTGTTAGAGCAAAATTCAAATCTGGAACGAGCCATTCCCATCTCGAAAGGGGTCGTTCTAGATTCAAATTTAAGCCTTAACAAACTGGCTTAGAATGGGCTGTTTTGAAATCAGAATGGACTATTCTGGTCAGATCTGAGGTCTATAAATAGCAGACTTGAGCGCTGCTCCCGAGGTCGAAAAAATTCGTCTAGGAAGCCTTAGTTATTTTGAAAATTCTCTCTCTCTTTATTATATTTCTTGAGATTTTGTGAGGTACATTATAGTGCATTAGGTAGCCAAAAAGCACCTAAAATTCTCCATATTCGAAGATTCAATAAAGCTTAGTCAAGAGGTACTTCAGTCAACACTTTTCTTTTCCTCTATTTCCCATTTTAATCGATATTGTTCAAAATAAAAAGGATTAATTATGTAGACGTTTTAGGGTAAATCAGGTAATTTAAGTTTCATGCATATAAATAACCTTCAATAAAGGGGATCTAATATTTAAACTATTAATTC